AAGAAGAAATTTTAAGGGATGAATATTCATGCAACCCAATTTAATCGAGGACTTTAATGCATGATACGCAAACAAAATGAGGGACAACAACATTTCACAACTTGGTATTAATGTGTTTACCACTAGGAGGGTTGAAAAAAGAAGAAAAAAAAAAAACATGCACACACCATACGATAGATATGAGGGGGGCTGTGCTTAACTTTATTATCGGATTAAATTAAACATAATTATATTGTATTACTTTCCCTGAAAATCGATATGAAGTTTCCATTCTCTCCTTCGTAAAATTTTTATCAACAATTAGGCACCGTTCGCGCGCACATACCTCCAAATCCCATGGTCCCATGGTCAATCAAAAACTGCTTACTTAAGGTGCCACGATGCTTACACATTGCATATAGCATTCAATCAACCCATTTAATACAACACATTTATTAAAATGCCGCCCCTGTTTTAATTTGGAAAACAAAAAAAATAGTTTTTCTATAAAATTTTTTTTTTTTTAATTAATTAATTATTTTTTTTTTTTTTTTTTCGAGGAAGCAAAAAAAAAAAAAATTAAATAAATATGGCGTAAATTGAAACAGAGGGATAATGATATGAGATGATACCTTCCAAATTCAACCGGAGTATATTTTCCAATTGGATTTCATATGTCAACGATACAAAGACTGTATCATAAGACGTCTCACGAATTCTTCTTCTCGTTAACTACAATTCATCTCATCTTGTGTGATCCTATTTCGGATTATTTCTTCCGAATTAACGAATCATAAATCGAAACCTTTGGTCTGCACACTTTTTTTTTTTTTTAGAAAAAAAACTAATTAACCAAAAAAAAAATTACCCTGCCTTAATAAATTTAAATATTTATTTAGGAAAATATTATGAAAAATTAGAAATAAATATTTTGAATTAAACAAATAAATCATAGGACCCGTTCGCTCATCTATAGAATAATTACATTTAAGGAAGACAAATCAAAAAATAAAAAAAAACATTCGGTAAAAAATATTTTATCGTACAAACAAATAATATTCATTTTGATTCCGAATTGAATAACATCATATGATAATTTTTAAGTGATGACCCTGGAATTTTGTCACTCAAACAATTAATTAATTTAAATTGAATTACACGGCTAAGTTCATTAAAATGTTTATACGAATCAACCCAAGAAAACATAAAGTTAAACCAATGAAAAATGGAATTTGCTTATTATAATGAATTTCGAGTTTAACGTTCATTTTTGTTTATGCTGCAAGCTTTAATTAATAAACTAAGTTGGCGAAAAAAAAAATAATAATTTAATGGAAATGGATAAATGTAAATCTTTTATTAGGTAAAATTTGAGCATTGTCGGTGTTGAGATTCCCCCGTGTTACCTTGGCAATTTGCCAATTTCTTTGGTGCATGTTTATAATTTTACCTTACCAAATACAATGTCAATTATATACATGGATGGATATATATATGGATATTTAAAGGGAAAAAAAGGCTGTTCATTAATAATACCGTGAAATGATTTTCAATAAAAAGTTGTAAAGGGCGTGAAAAAACGAAACGATGGTGTGTCATGATTAACCGGATAAATATAATCCATATTTAGTAAAATTTAAGGTGCCGAGATACTTTCGAAGATTTCAACAATAAATATTTATTTAGATAACATTGCTAAAATCGGTCGTAACGCAAGATAGAAAAAAAAACATTTAAGCATAGCATAGTCAGGAGGGAGGGAGGTTATTTACACCTCAAAATGTTTAAATGGGGTTTTGAAACTTGTTTTTTGACAAATAAAAAATTCCCGAGAATAACTTTCTCATTTTAGGTAAAATCTATCATTTTTGAACACAAGCCATAACTTTTTCGTTTCAATAATTATCATTGAAAAAAAAATTTGTTAAACCTTAAACCATACATGATATACAATGCACCCATGTTTTTCCACAAAAATGTTCCCTCATAAGGGAAAAAAAAAGAATCTTAAGGAACATTTGTTTATTTTTTTTCTATCATTAGATTTTTATTCGCTGGAAAAACAAAAAAGCAAACATCAAAAATAATAAATAATAGATCAAGTAGATTACTGTAAATATCATTCGACGACAAGATTCACACCAAAGCCTGTTAAAAAAGAAGTTCCAACGAATCACATTCGGATAAATAAGTGTGGCTATTGACATTTTCAAATTGGATAGGATAATTTCGGAATTATTTAATCAATCCGCATATTTAAATCGATTGGTACATGATCAATATCATCATTCGTGTTTGTTTATAAATATTAATGTGATCAATTTCTTTTTCACCTTTATTTAGTAACTTTTTAAATGAATGCTGTTTTATGTTGTGCACATTGAATTCTTGTTACATCCCGGTAAAGATAAGAAAAAAAAAAAATGAAACGAAACACCGAACAAAAACACATGAAATGCGAACGGAATAACGTTAGAAATATAATTACAAATTGAATCTGTGTGAAAAAGTGACCAAATTAAATCACCAATGCAGACTGCAAATATAATTTGCAAAATTCTCTTGATAAGGTTATGCCGTTTTTATATGCTTTTTTTTTAAAATAACTTCCGAATATATTCATGTATGTATATAATTTCTCTGACGTTAACAATAGACCGCAAATGTAATTTGCGAACTCCTCTAAGGTTATAACATGCTTGTAATAAAATGTGTGCCTTTTTTAAAAATCATTTTTTTCCGAATATTTGTTTTTGATATACGTTTGTATTTATGCTCTTAATGTCTGCAAATGCAATTTGCAAAATAATCTTATAAATGTATATTATATATATTTATTTATTTGTTGTCTGAACATTTGATTTTTACATATATATATATTTTAATAAAAAAAAAAAAAAAAAATCATTATTTTCCGATTATTTGTGTGTGCGATATCTACTTTACTGTACAATTTTTTAACGTTAAAATAGGAAAAAAAAAAAAAAGGTTCTGCATGTGCTTTCTTAAAGATAAAATGCGGCTATAAAAAGGTTTTCCCGTTGTCTCATGGACGGTCTAAAAGAAATAGAAATAAGAATCTTATATCAGGAATATCAAGTAAATCATCTACAGATTCAATTATCCATTTATTAACATGAGTGATTAAAAACTTTATTGTAAAGTTTTTTTTTTTTTTTTTTATCAAAAAGTTTCGAAATGAATAAGAATGACTCATTTAATCTACAGTATATCAATCTCCCTATAATTTATTATTTTTTTTAAAAAAAAAAGAACTAAATTTGACATGTTGATCCAACCTCCCTGTAAAAAAAATGTCTGTGACAATCCATGATTGATTGATAGAACTTCAACTTTAAAAAAATGAGAATATTGTTAGCTCAAAAAAAAAGAAATCATCGTCATTATTAAGGAACTAAATTCAAACTATTCCAAATATATTCTCCTATTTAAATTTAAAATATCATTATTGTATTATTTATATATTATTGTATAAATTATAGTATATTATAGTATAACAATAATATATAATATACTGTATATAAAATAATTTATATAATATTATTGATTTAATTATTGATGAACATAATATATGTTTATTGTAAAAAAAAATTATTTTCATTATTCAAATAAAAAAAAAAAATTGCACCAATGTATAAACTTTTGTATAGATAAGACAAAAAAACCATTCGTCAAGTTTCAAGTATTGAGCTCTGAGATTAAGGTTTACGGCGAACGGCGTAGATGTCATTTATATAAAATTAGCATTTTGAACAAAGAGGCTGCGCACAGGTTTGGTTGGTTAACATTTGATATTCATGCCCATGTTCGATTTTGGATATAGTTGAATGAACTCTCCTTATCAAAAATTCCTTGACTCATTTGATTGATAGAGAACAAGAAACGGCTGAGGTCGCATTTCAGATACAGTAATAGCCGTCTCAATATAGCGGCAATGCATTTCATGTGGGGGAGTTAATGATATTTCGGATCATTTGATTTACTATGTCTCGTATTTGATTTTAATAATAGCTAACAACCCACATGGTCACTACATGTTAAAGTTTCCCAATTCGCGTTCTAGTTTTCGAAAAAAAAGGGTAGAATAAGAAATTTTCAATCAACAAAAGACGTAAATTAACGAAGTACCACACCTGCTTGATTTCTCCAAATCGTTCAAATAGCATTCATTTAATAATTTTTCATTGCATCTTAATAGACAAATATAAAGGGAGGTTTGGAACAAAACAATTCAATCAAAAGACGTTTTTCTACGAAAATTTTCGCGAACGAAAACCACTACACATGGTCACAAGATGTTACACCATACCACCATATCGGTGGCGAATAGCATTTTGACAAGTAAACAATTCCGAATAAGTTAACCTGGGTCTTAACATTCTAAGAAATTTCTTTAAATTTCGAAGGAATTGAAAATGTTATAAATAGAGTTGGAAGTTATACCTCAAAAAATCTTTTTCTATATGAAGTTTTCTTGTATATATGCTATCAATAAACTGTTTTTTCATTAGTTCAACGTTAATTATTTGTCATACATGAAAATTGTGAAAGAAGGTTTTGTTTTAAATTGAATTCATTTTTATTATTATTATATTTTAACTATTACAAAAGAAAAAAAAAAAAAAAAAAAAAAACTTTAAACAACATTGTAAAAATACACTTGCACATTTAAGTGAGTAAATTCTACTTAATGGGGTTAAAATAAAAATAAAAATGGAGACTTTCAAGAGAGTGAAATGAAAAAAAAAAAGGGAAAACCAAAAATTATATATATATATATAGATACATACTTACATACATACATATATATACACACACGAAGATTCGAAAAAAAAAAATACGTATCATTAAAACTACAAATTTAAAAGAAGTTCTTGGTGATACACATATTAGTACAAGGATCTTTTTTTTTTTTTTTTTTTTTTTTGATATAAACGAGAGAGAGAGAAAATATTTCTTTTTCTTCTTTCTATGATTATTCCTAATCGTCGTAAGGTTTCTTAAGTGTGATCATCAAATTTAGGAAAATCAAAAGATAATGGCTCCAGATGTGAGTAAAAACCAGCACTTTGATCTCCATTGGTGATATCGGCGTACCATTCATTTTGTTGAGGCACTTGTGAATTCATGGATCCATAATCACAATCGATACCGTAGTTTATTACGTCATATTGACTAAAGAGCGAATATGTCCAAAAATCTTGCATCGGTGGTGAGACAAATTCTATAGGTGCTAAAGGAGAGATGATACTTTCATGTTGCATTTGTTCTTGGGCGGGAAGACTAGATTCCATATTTACTGGAAGAACAGGTAAGGCCTTATTGGCTTTTCTTCTTTTAGATTTTTTTTCCTTTCCAAGAGTATCAGGAGTACTTAAAATAAAGTCACCGTCGGAAGTTCTTCTCTTTCGTCTTTCATAGGTATAACCTGGATACCTTACTTTGTGCCTCTCTTTGAGCTCTTTAGCAATGATTGCATATCCTTTTTTCTCGTCGACGGTCGCACCATGCCAAATATATGATGCAAATCGTGAAAGATTTTTTCCATCGTCCGATAAGTTGACCGATTTTGCAACGTAGGCAAGTTGGCGACGGAACACTATGAAGCTATTCATCTCTCTTGGAGCTGTTGTCTTTTCTGGCATTTCCAATTCGTTAATATTGCGAGAACATGGAAATAGGTCTTTCCTAGGTAACTTTTCAATACAATTCCTATCAACTGTAGATGGCTCATTCCCCTCTTTGTCTTTTAAAGACCAACGTTTAGTCAAACACATTTTATTATTTTTTTTTTTTGGTAGTTGTGAAAGGAAAAATAGAAAGTAATCTTGTTGATTATGAGAAGAAAAAAAAAGGGATTGTATTTTTTTCTGCAACTAGGAAGAGAATAAAAAACAGGAGTGAAAAAAACAGCTATTTATATAACTTCGATAGTAATATTTTTTTTTATTACGATTATTTAAAGAATAAAAAAATTTGTTTTGAATTTTTTTGAATTTGACTATTATATATATAAAAAAAAATAAAATAAAACTACATTTAAATATATTTTTAATAAATAAAATAAAAAAAATAATAATAATAAAAAAAAAAAAAAAAAAAAAAAAAAAAAAAAAGAAAAAAGGGGGGAGGGGAGGGGAGTACAGTATAAAATTTTTTTGATTTATGGAACCATAAAAAAAAAAAATTTTTTTTTTTTTTTCGATTTATAAAATAAAATAAACATTATATTTATAATGTATAAAAAACTAATATAAAACAGTATCATGTAAAAATTCGTTTTTTTTTTTTTGTCCTCAGTTATTTTAAGAATGAATCTTTTAAATTTGTATCAATCTTTAACAATTTAATAGGGGGTTCAAATAGTTGAGTATCAAATTCAGTTCGGATAAGAATTAGTGACATTATTTTATGCCTTTGCTTTATTAGATTCATGTGTTACACAATAATAATGTGAAGAAAAAAATTATTAATGGAACAACGGGTACAATTTATTAAAAAAAAATCGGTTCGACTTCGGCTGTTGATATCACACTTAACAGGATTTTGATATTTGTGAAACTTAACTATTCATAACAATAATAAAAAAATCTTCATAAAAGACAATTTTTAAACTTTTATACGAGATATCACCCTTTTCCTTTGTTCTTTTATTACTTTAGCGTTTTAGGATTCAACTACTTAATCGGTGGAAACAGAAAGTGTAACCGACTATCCTTTGGTTAAAATTTTCTTCCATGTAGAAGTAAATAATAATTCATTTTTAACTTTTCTCCTGTGAAATGTATTCCAATTTAGTCGTTCCGAAACTTAACATTTGCAACAATAATGCACTTAAGATTTGCTGCTGTCATTTAATTAATCGAACCCTTACATTAAAAATTGTGAATGGGACATAGATAAAATTAACATGAATGAATACATGATTGTAAATTTCCACGAACATAATATAAATTGAAATCAATTATTCGTTTGGTTATGGGGCTTATTAAAACTCTCACAGGTCTAACACCTTTATCCTCGGGATTTGAATTCTTTTTATGGCGACTAAGACATATTTAGACAAACAAAAGGGTTTCGACAAACAAATTTAAAGTTATCTTGGTAAGAGATCAAATTGATTATGCATGGGTCATTTGACTTTATCATGATTTACATCCAAACTTCTTCGTTTTATAAAAATAGAACATTGTTTATATTGTCATAAGACTTTTGAAAGGATTAGTTACTTGGTCATTTGATTAAAAGATAATTCTTTTCCGGTAAACTGATCACGATGATTTCATTTTTTTAAAGTTTCCGAATTTCATGTTCATAATCTGAAACAATCTTACAACGTTGAGAATAATATCTCTTTTTTTTCCCTTGTTGTTATCTTAAGATTTTCGAATTTTTTTTTTTTATTTATTTTAACATCAAATTCACATGAAGTTAATTTATTTCTCGGGTAAATATGTGAATAATGAATCACCTGGAACATTCTTATCTTGTCACATTCTTATCTTATCTTTGTGATAATAATAATATAATAATAATATATTATTTATTTATTACTTTGTCGCTATAATAGGACCATTATTAAAATAAAATTGATTAAATACATGGGAGGTTGCAGGATAAATTAAAAAAAAAAAATGCAGTTACACATCATAAATATATTACTGTGAGAATTTTCGATTTATCAAATCAAATCATCAGTCCTACCCTAAGGGGGTTGGGTTAGCTATGGCCCAGGTACCCCCGATAAAATTATAACGGTTGCTAAAGCAATCACTATCCCATCACCACAAATGTCACATCTCTGCAAGTTGTTTGTTTATTATAAAAATCTATTCTTTATTTTCTTAGAAGGAACCTCGACTCCGTGAGTGGTAATGAATATGCCATTTAAGTCGCTATAGGATAATATATTTTAAAAAATGGTTTGATTGAAAATATCTTTTTATACTAATCTCGAACACCTCGAACAATTAGTTACGGTCTCAGAGGATCGCGCACCCAATAATGGTGAGTTTTTTTCCTGCTTAAACGCTGAATCAAGACAAATTAAATTAGTAATATTGTCAACACCGTACTTTCATTATCGTTACCCAATCCTAGGCTTTACAAGATTATATTTTAAACGATACATATATCTATTTAAATGTTTAATAATTTTTACCTCATTTTCTGATTACTCCAGTGTATATTTTACATTTTTTTATTAGATTCATTTATATATAATCTGCTTCCGTGATTTTTTTTTTTTTTGCCATTGATTAACTAACGCAAATAAAATAAATTCGACATTTTACTATTTGGTTTTCACAATAAATTTGATTTGAATGGGACGGACGTGGTTTTTCACCAATCGAATTAATTTTGTATCCCACGTCATCCATTGAATTGTGATTCCAATCTAAGGAAGGTAAAAGGCAAGTTACATCAAGAGGGATTTTTTCTAAAATATTTTCCCTAAACATCTTCACTCTTTCCTTTCATAGATAGAGTATTTTGGAATAAACTTTTTTATTTTAATGATATTTTATATCAATTTTGTTCGAATTCATAAACCATCTATATGAAAAGCTTGCATGTAATTTTTCAATCTTAACTTTTTCAAAAATCTTGCTTGAACGCTTAATAATAATTTGTTGTTTGACATATTTACACGTGATTATATTTTATACTTGTCTTATGTGCAATATATTATATATTAAATATATGCAAGATAATTTTATTTTACCATCATAATTGTTTTTTTAATTCATTTATGTAGGAAAGAATACGACTCAGTGAGTTGGTCAATGAATATGGACTTAAATCGTATTTAAGCTTGGGAGAGCCGCTTCAGATCGCAGAAAACAGTTAATGATATATACATATATATTTTTAAAAAGATTAGTCTGATCAAAAAAAAATTTTTTTCCATTCTTTTCACGAATAATTATTACGGGCCCAGAGGGACACACATTCGAAACGGTGAGTACTTTCCCTTTCATGACATTTAGGTGTTTGAACGCTAAATCAACACGAATTTTAATTTAGTAATAATGTTCACGTCGTATTTTCATCAACATTACCTTGGCAAGATATATTTTATACAGTCAGACCTACCCCATAGAACCATAGTGATTGAAAAAATGTGCATTTAAAAAGTAATTTTTTTATATGATCTCCATATGTTTGGAAAGAGGTATATTTATTTATTTTTGATGGTTTTTACTCTGGACAGTTTGGTTTTTTTATGTTTCTTGAATGAGGATTATATAATGTGAATATCGGAGAAAACTTTCCAATATGGATTTTCACTCTTAAAAAAAAAACCGATCAAATTCTGAATGAGCAAAAAACAATCCTTATGACTAAACATTCATAAAACGTACTAATATTTGTAACTGTTACACATTTTTCGAAGGTCGCAGTTTTAGCACCGTTTTTTGTTAGAATCAATCAACTCTCCATAATATAAATGCACTCCCAAAGGGGATGCATTTATAGAGTTGAATGTGATTGGCATCTTCTTGTGATTGACTTATTACGTACTGTACTTTAGGTACTTTTTTTTTAAAAAAAAAATTTGTATTAGTATAAAAATTCTTGATAAATAAATTATATACTATTAAAGGCAAGTAAATCATTTCACAAAAATGTAAGAGCGAAATGGAATCCAAATAAAATTTTTCATCGTTACTCACGGTAAAAATGTAAAGAACAACTCCAAAAAAATGCGCGAGCAATCGCAACTTAAATTAGTTTAATCCCTATTCACTTTTTTTATTTATTTATTTTTTTTTTTTAGATATCCTTGCAAAAAATTAATAAATAATGGTAAAGGCTTGGAAGCTTATATATTACGCGATCTCTGTTGTGAAACATCAACTCTTAAATTCCATTGTTGTTAGAAAATGGAAACAATTAATTTTTTAAATAATAACGTTTCTTTCGCATAATAAGAAAAAAAGAGATTGTTGTAACCCATAATAGTAAATAAAGTATTGTTATTGATATTATCAACTTGCCAGCTCGTATAATATTTCCGAAAACTACCTCTTATAAATCAAAATACCTTTTTCTTTTGTATATTCAAGAATAAGCATAGCTATTTATTTACTTATAATAATAAACAAACAACACTTCGGGAAACGTAATTTCGTTTGTCATACGAGCGAAAAGTTTTTTCCTTAACGATAAACTTTGATCTTCTCTCTCATACACCAAGTTGAACAAAAATATATAATAAACAAGAGATATATATATATTTTTGATAATAGATTAGAAAGTAGATGGTGATGTTTGATAACGTTGTGATGCAAATGAAATCAGTATTATCACCCGCTAATTTAAATAATTTAACAATTTAGGTAAAAAAAAAAGAAGAAAGTGGTACCACTAATTAATTTAAGCATATGACGGATAAATCAAGGGAACAAATGAAATTTAAATTAAAAACATCAAATTCCTGGGTTTAAGGATCTGGCTCAGAGTTTCACTGAGTCAACAAATAACAACCCACCATTGTTATGCTGATGCCATTCAAGATTTGTTTATCATATGGTAAATCCGAATATTCTTATCAGAAACGATTAAAGAAACAACGCGTGTTTCAATACAATCCAATATTATTTACATTAAATTAAGATTAAGCATGATTAATTGTTTATTCTTTCTAATTGATCCGAATTAGCCATTGTTTGACATCAATAAAATCTGTTGACAATTTAAGGGCAGACGCGCGATTGCACAGAATTTGGCTTAGAGAATTATAAGTCTAGCGTACATGCATCAGATCGAATCAATTATAAATCAAGATCACAATCTTTGAATCTGGGATATTAGAGATATTTGATTACACAGCATTTATGATCACGTGACCGATGATCGTTAGTTTTCAAAGGCTTGCTATAATGTCTGGAGCACCTTCAAAAGTTCTACGAACACTTCTTACAACATTAAATAAAAATTTAAAGGATAAAATGGATGATAGTGGGAAAGAAACGTCTTTTTCATTACACGAGGCAGGCGAATAACAATTTTCAGCACTCCATAAACAAAATGTTTCAAAAACAATTAATGTGAGCGAGCAAGCACAAGATAAAATCGCATTATATCGAACTTTCTTTATCTTTCAATTCATTTTTGCAATAACTTCTCGATATAGTGAACCATCACCTGTTATGATGAGAAATAAAAATAAGCAGAAGAAATAATACGTATGAGATGGCAGGTTCATTATAAGGAGCTTTTACGCAAAAATCATTATGAAGTATACGAGAACATACATTTCTAACGTTAGTTGAAACAAGACATTAAAATATTTAAGTTATTTTGAACAAAAAAAACGTACACGCCATATATATGTATAATTTTTTGTTAAATTCATCAAATTCTAAAGAAAATTTTGATACTATGCATTTACGCGTTCTTTTTATATTAAAAGTTCAACTTATATGGAACGGTTTGTCATGAGAACCATGATGAACTTTGAAATTATAATTGCACCATTTAGTCTTAATTGTTGCAAGATGATAAACTGGTTTGCTTTAAATGAGTTTCAAAGTAAGGAAATCATTTTATTCCATTATTATTTATATATTTATACCAAACATTTAGAGGTCTCATGACAATTATTTTTTTTTTTTTTGATAAAAAAAAAACTTTATCGGTTCATTCTAATGAATAACAAAATTCAAAACGAGAAGAAAAAAAAAATTTTTTTGCCTGAATCGGGCTAAATCATCATAAAAAAAAAGAGTTTCATACAAACTGCGTCATAAAAAAAATGAAGCCATTCCATTCATTGTTGGCGAGGCAGCGGTCCCCTCAAATTGTTTTATAATAATTATGAGAAAGAGAAAAAAAATGCAACGTTATATCATAAGTTTCCTAATTTGGGCTAAAGTTTATAATGATGTTTCAGCCTTGAAATCTTATTCACGTGTCAGAAGTACGGAAATCCCATTAGAAGAAAAGACCGCAACGGATCAATCAATTATAGAAAAGGAATTATTAAAACATCAAGTTCGAATATTTTATATTTATCATCTAATCTTTCTTCTTAAAAAAATATTCTCAAAGAATTGATCTCCCATTCTAACACTAAAATAAAACTTATTAAAAATTAATTGGTCAAATCAGCATAATTCTTTGTAGCACTTAATATAAATAAAATAATCAAGTGACCATAAACAAAATCATGAATCCTCGGTTGAATTAATTTTTTTAAAAAAAAAAATTTTACCGACGATTACACAGCAACAAAATTACATAGCATCCTTACTTTATGAGTAAAGTGTGGGCCAAAAACTTTTTTGAGGTGATTTTCTAAACACAAACTAATTTTGACTAATTTTTGACATGAAATTCAAATCTATTATAGAGTTGGTCCGACATAAATTTCAGATTATAATGCTCGGTCAGTAATTCAATGCTTTTTTTTTATAAAGAGAACTCCTCCAAAATATCTACTCGATCCGTCTTGAACCGTTATAAAAAACGTCTTTCGCTATACGCCGAAAGGTTTGCTTAGTCGCACAAGATACATTAAGACCGAATTTATTTATGGTTTAACGTTTTCTTCAAAAAAAAAAAAAAATGAGAATGCAATAATTCAAGTCTGTATTATTATAACTATTATAACTTCAAAATAATTGCAAATTTTATGAAGATAGCTGATCAGCATACTACATAAACAAATATTCCGTCATGTAACGTGCAACATCTTTGAAAGAATAAAGATTCCTATGGACCACTTATTAAACAACGCACAAATTGACAAATTGTAAACTAAAAAAGCAAACCTGTTGTAGAATATTGAATCATTATACATGGATGCGGGCACGTTAAGGTTCTCTAAAGAATTGTTAATGTGTTTACCTTTATTAATAACGGTTAAGATTTCTTTAAAAGAATTCCAAGTTTTTTAATAATTTCATGATAGAAAACATGTGTTAAGTACAGTTTTCTAAGAAAAAAAATAATAATAATCGTTATTAATACCCGAAAGAATTAAATTCAGCTAGATTAAATGTTTGGGCTGGTAATATTGTAATAATTCCTTTTTTAGAAATATAAAAATTAATTTTTGAGATTGCTCGAATAATGGACTCCGATTGGATTTGCTATTTTAGGATTCACATGGAGAAAACATCATAACCTTTGGACTTATAAAGAAATGTTCCGGAACAGAAAAAAACATAACCAAAAAGGATAATTTTCAATTTAATAATGAAAACATTCGAGATTTCCGACTTTCTAGAAAATTACTTTAAAGGGAAATTAACAATGCTTGTGGATGGAATCGTTCCTTTATGCCTAAGAATTCTACAAAGATTGTAAAAATCATCATACTTTCATAATCCCTTTGGCATTTATTTATTGTCAATGATCATTATGTGATATTTGAAAGGCCCGTGATAATGGTGATGATTTAGGTTTCTGAACAGAAGCATTGGTTGATCCTTTTTTTTACCTTGTCTTTATTACTAGATTTATTTATATTTCTTCCGGAAAAAATTTTCCATTTAAATATATAAACAGCTTTTCACGCCTTGTCTAAATTATAACCCTCTAAAAAAATCTCCAATAAGGAAATCAGAAAACCTAATTGTCACAAAACACACAAAACAATATTATAAATTATTTGCTTGTAGATAAATATATTTCCATCTTTAGTCTTTATATATATTTTTTTTTAAAATATAAAGATTATTTTATACTATATTTGTGATTGAAGGAGTTTTTTTATTTTTTTTCGTACTTGTTTTACAAAAAGGATTATATAATTTCTTTTTTATATTATATATTTTAAAAATTTCTATATATAAGGCGCAAATTTATTGAAAACTTGCCAAGTTGTCTTATCATTTCAATTTAATATTTCTTTCGGTAAATGAAATGTCAGAACTAAAGAATAATTTAGATTACTTCACGGTTGACAAAATTATCACCCTTAGACGGGGAAAATATAAAACCGACATAGATAATGCGATACAATCTTTAAAATACGAAATCGATAATAATGATATGGAAATATATGTTATAAAATACTCGAAAAATGTAGAAAGAAATCGGGATGGCAAGATCAAACGACCTTCCAATTCAAACATTTTATATACAAACACGCTTAATAAACATTTAGACCAGGTCGTCGAAAAAATATGTGAAGATCATCAAGTGAAAAGGTGTATGAAAATGCCCCTCGGTAAGAAGTTTAGTAAGATAATATGGGAAGAATTAAAGGAAGAACAGAAATATACCGATTTTTTTAAAGAATTGGCTACAAAAATTAAAGAAGCACACGCTAAAAAAAATCCGGGTTATGTTTATAAACCGAACCGAAATAAAAATAAACATACCATTATTAAACAATATCGTCCTAAAAATGACGATCACTTGCCACGAGAAACGAAAAATAGCTCGTCGACTGCGCATTTACACGCTCAAAGCATTACCATCGCTCCAAATGATTGTGTTGATAATCCGCAACAAATGGAGAGTGCTCAAGCACAAGTCATGCCTCAAGAATCGATGAATAAATCTTCGAAAGCGCATTTACAATCTCAAAGATTTAACATATCTCCAAATGATCATGATGATTCGCAACTAATGGAGATTGCTCAAGCACAAGTTATGACTAATGAATCAATGAATAACTCTAATGCGCATTTACAATCTCAAAGATTTAACATATCAAATGATCATGTTCGACAAATGAGTAGTGCTCAAGTACAAATCATGTCTCATAATTTTTCGAATACGAATTTACAATCTCAAAGTTTTAATCATGTGGATCATTCTCAACAAATGAATGGTGCTCAAGTACAAGTCATGTCTCATGAATCGATGAATAACTCTTCGAATACGCATTTACAAGCTCAAGGCAATGATCATATCGGTACCACACAACGTACATACGTGAATGGCCAGGGTGTTTATGATTCTGAAAATATTCTCGATGAACCAATCCTTCCGGAATTTAATGAAAAAACAATTCCAAAAGAATTGTATGTAAAGCCATTTTCCATACATAATGATATTCTTATGCAACAATATCCTTTCGATGATCATCAAGGAGAATATAATCATTTAAACGGCAATGATTTATTTATTCCAAATTACTCTTAAAAAAAATTTATAATGAATTCATGAAATAAGTGTAATTCACGATTGTATACCAATATTTTCTAATTTTCTAAGTTTTATTAAGTCAAATGTACATTATGTAATAAGAACATTAATTTATGAATTATGTAAAGTATCCATTATTCCAATTATTTTATTTAGCGAAATCAAATTTTAAGAGAATTAAACATAAAAGATAAAATAAAATGATAAAACCTTCATATGTGATTTTAACCATAGGATCGACTTATTACGTGATGGATACTTTTTAAAATTTGTGACCATGTATGTCACAAAGGACAAATTAAAGGGAAATGACAATTTGCGGAAAATGATCAAGTGACGACAGTCAGTCGTTTACCATGAAGACCTTGTTTGATAGAAAATAATAAACTGACCATATATGCATGAAAAAAAAAAATGAAATGAAGCGTAAAAAAATAAATCAAGTAAATGTGCATGACCTTGATATTTAAAAATGTAAAATTTTGTATGATACATATGATACATAAGCAAAGAAAACAAAGCTTTATAAGATACAATTCGTGAGTTGTTTTTTTTAAAAGCGTATATGCGTGTGGTGGAAATTTTTTTTTTTGATAACTTTGAATTTCTTTCGGAAACATTCGAAACCTACACATGTATCGTTGAAAAGAGAACGTTCAAAAAAATGAACGGTAACGGCCAGGAAACCGCCAGAGTCATCCGGAAAACGTCATATAACCGAAAACCGAAAACGTGCTACAGTTTCCAGTTGTGGGGGTTTTTTCCAGATGTTTTCCAGGTGAACGACGTTTTTTAAACGTCTTCTATACTCACACGGAAGATTTTATTTCTAGGTTATGAATCCCATGTCATATAAGCTCACGTGACAATAGGTAAATAATTTCCTTTAGAAGATTGACTGTGTTATCAATATATGCTGTAATAATAAAAAAAAAAAAAAAGTAAAGAAAAAAGAAAAAAAAAAAAAAAAGGAGCAATAAAAGCATGGCGTAAATAAAATAATAATAAATTTAGGTAATTTCAACAAAGCAAACTTAGATGTGAAAAATTGAAAAATTTTTTATTTTTTAATTTGAAATATAAAAAAAAAAATTTTTATTTGTCAATGAGTAATAGTCTAAAACTTTTTTTATATATATATATATATGATTTTCCTTTTATTTCTTCCTTTTTGAAATTTGTAATTATAAATTTCGTTATAAATACACCCCCACCCGTCCAGACGACAAATAGAACAAAAAAAAAAAAAAAAAAAAAAATTTGACTTTTATCAAACAAAGAAATAATTACCTTTATCAAAAAAGCAATAAAAACAAATTACAAAATTTTCATCGAAATTAAAACCATGAGTATTATTGCGAATCCCGATTGGCAAGGCAAACTTAAGTCGTCCAAGAACGAACGTCCTAACGAAGAACAAATTAAAATCATTAATAGATTTAACCGGGAAGAAATATTCAACCACAAATACGATATACAGAGTTTATTCTCCAAATTTTATAAACTTGATACCACGCCAGTTGATCAAATAGTGCCAAAAAGACAAGTAAACAGCTTCATGATACTTAGGACCGTCTTAGGATTGGTAGCTGCTAAAAGAGGGATTAAAAGAGAACTTGGAGACGGAACACAACAAAGTAAGATAGCAGGGTTTATTTGGGGAGGAGCAGATCCTAGCGAGAAGAAAAGGTTTGAAGAATTGTCTACGCAGTTCAAGGAATTTCACAAAATATTTTTCCCTCATTACGAATATAAACCGACACCAAAGGCTCAAGCTGCTGGTTGTACTTTCGTCGATCCCATTATTTCATCAAGTTATTCACAGACCATTCCTGTCGTTCCTTCTTCTCTTATGTCTTACCAGGATTCAGCTATGTCTCCAACAAGTATAGCGGAACAATACAACATGATTAATAATAACGAATTTGCCGCAACCGTCATTAAAGGTTCTTCGTTTCAAAATGAATCTTCTTTTGCTCAAACCTTCCTTGAAGATTCTTCGTTTCAAAATGAAGCTGGAATGGGAAATATTTATTATCAACAATTTCCCTTTGCCGAAACCTTTCTTGAAGGAACTGCGTTTCAAAATAAACATAAAACAATGGAAAATGATTGTTTTAAATTTCCTAATACCTCCTCCTTAAACGAGCAGTCTGATTTTGACTTGCTTAACGGCTCTCCAGCGCCATTTGAGCAACCTTACATTAACTATTTAAACAATAATATCAATATGTATGGAATGACGAATTATGATCAAACTCCAACCGATGCGACAAATATTCAATTTTCTGCTATCGATGAGAATTATTATTTCTATTAAATTAAAATTCAAATTATTATTGTAAGTAAATTAATTAATTTATGTAAGAGTTTACATTCTTTCTTTTTTTTTTGGAATTTATATAATTTTATTTTCTTTCTTTCTTTTCTTTTTTTTTATGATTTGATATAATTTTATTTTCTTTTTTATAAACAAACCGTTTTTGTAACATAATAATCTTCCTTCACATTTTAAGTACAAAATAAATAAATAATAAGTATATGTAATATATATATAAGGATTTCAAAGGTCCTAAGATTAACCTTACTTCCTTTTTTTTTTTTTTAAAAAAAAAAAAAAAGCAAAATTCGTGTGTTTCTGTAATTTTTTTTAATTGAGTATGGCTCCCCTATCTTTTTTAAAGACCAAAATTTATTTCGTTAATGGGGAAAAATGTAATTAAGTGCACAAATTAATTAATGTTTTAGTAATATAACTTTAAGATTATGAAAAAAAAAATAAAGATTTCAAAAGATTTTTTATACAAATTACCGTTCGTATAAAGCGAATTGCCGTTATTACTAAATTTGGGAAATGTACAAGGCCAATATTTTTAAATCCTTGTGTAGTCGGCCGATACCCTTGTGTAAATTTTCGGAATCTGTTCTCCCTCATTGTAATGTTTCCTAATCTGTTTTAATCTAAACGCAGTATAACGACTTTCGGGAGTTTTTTTTTTTTTAAAAAAAAAAATAAAGAATAAAAATAAAAATTTAAAGCGCGAAATAATTTTTATTAAGCTTTAACGAAATTAAATTCTGAATCTTAATTTATATTAACTTTTATTCAATCTTTTTCTTTTTCATTTTATTATTATTATTATTATTATTTTTAAATAAACAAAAAAATTAAATTAAATCTAGAAATAACGAAATTCTATTTATAGACAGTTTTAAATAAGCTTATTTCCTTTTCTGAGCTCTATATACATTTTAAAAACCAACACCCAACTGTTTTTAAACTTATAAAGATAACGACTGATAGTTTCAAAAAAAAAAATTTTTTTTTTTTTTTTGCCAATTATTCTTTACCTTTCTATAAATGGGAATATGTCCGGAGTATCATGTATGTAATCATGTATGTATGCTAAAAGAAAAATAAAATAAAATGTAAACTATAATCGACTAAATTTTGTATAATACATCATTTACCTATTTGAGCTTTAGAGCTTTGTAAAACATTTTTAACCATTGTTAAAACTTTATAAAACGTAAGAGCTCAGAAAAAGGTATGATGATGTTTTTTTTTCTTATATAATAATAACACGTTTCCCTCAATTTACCGTCTCAAAAATCATAATTTTTCACGAAATCCAACTCTGACGCTAATCGTCATTTTGTTTTGCCAAAATTTATAATCAAAAACAAATTATTCCATAACAATATTCTTTTTAAAGTAGTCATAATCCGAATATTATTTGATAAGAAGAAAAAAAATAAATAAATAATTGATTCTTGGATGGTAAATCGATTAAGGATTAATTAAATTATTATTACAAATACACTTGTTTTTCATTTTTGGTTTATTAAAAGAAAGCTATAAATTTAAAGAAGTAAAGTTCACGTCAATCCTTTAATTTGTATATTGGCTTTAGATTGATCGTTTTTTTTCAGCCATTGAAAAAAAAAAAAACCTTAATAAAAATTTTTTTTTTTTTAAATTTCATACGACCGATTTCTTTCTTGATTACTCATTTTGGAGGTTTCTAGGACTAGATCAGAGATTTATTTATACGGTTGCCATTAATGCACTCACATGTATGTACAATTTCATTTAATCATGTCAAAATAATTCCAAGATTTTTTTTTTTTCAGAAACTAGAAAAATTACAAAAACAGGTTAATATCGGCAAATAATTATTCCTTTGAGCGAAGATCAACCAAATTTAACCGATTTGAAAACAAAAAAAAGTTTTTTTTTTTTTTTTTTTTTTTTTTTAAAAGTGCACGAAGTTTTCTCATTGAATAATAACAAACGCGTAAAATGTGATTATGATGAGCGAAATTCATGATGATCCCTAACTCAGCGCTGACTCTGAATTAGTATTGTAAAAAATCAAAAAAAAATGAGAAATCAGGTTTTACGTCAATTCACCACCTGTACTTTATATGCGTTAGAATTATTTAAAATTAAATAGAATACCCCTTATCTTGTTTCATGTTTACATAATAAGATTATGATTAAAAAGATAAATAATAACGCGCTGTACTAAATTACTAAATTACATTTTAATAACTAAATAGAAATGATGATATCTGATCTCGTTAAAGTCCGAGCGAGATCGACATGTTACATGATATCATATCCTTATGTTGAAAATTCTTTTTTTCGAAGAGAGCCCGAATTTAGAACTCTCAATCACTTAAATTAGGTCTCACTGAATGGGAGGATCGACTGTGTCCAAAATTGGTCATGGGAGAATCAGGGAGTTTAACCAAATAAGTTGGCGTGATAATGTAAACGCGAAAATTTTTCGCGTTTCAGAGTTTCCAACCTAATAGGTAATTTACTATGCTCTCATTATAATAAATTTGGGAATAAATTCTTGACTCGGAGAAGACCGCGGTTTTTTCACAAACTGCGCCGTTTTATTATGACCCATATTTGGTCTAGTAACTGTTTCACAAGGCGCTATCTGGTGGCTTGCTCTCAGTGTCAACTCAGATTCCATAAAAACTAAATGGAAATTATGAAAGAGATTTTTTTTTTGTTTTTTTTTTTTGCAGAATGTTTACATTTGCCTTGCATCGTATTTTTTGTTTTTGGTTAGGAATAACAGAGAAAGAAACAGGATGGAAAGATGGATTGGGTTCACATGAGATTCCCCAAGCAATGTGCGGTGCCACTGTGGCACTATGCAACCGTGGCTGATTAACATGTTAATAGGAACATTGGTCCGAAAATAAAGTTTTGAATTACTAATCGTCTTAATGTTACTGTATATCGTTTCCGCTTTTTCCTTGGTATCTTTTTGCTGTTATGTTGTGATTTACTAATACATTACGAATTCCCTTTTAATTAGTAAAAATTCAAGTTCCGTTATTGTATATCATTTTACCTAACATGTTATGCGCACAAAAAAAAAAAAGACGAAAAAAAAGAAAAAAAAAACCAAGTACAAAGTTTCTAAATCAGTAAGTAATACACAACACATCTTTGCCATATGTAGATTACATTTTTTAATGCTGTGTTAACATCAATTATTGAAAAATATGGTTCAACTTTAGATTTGATAAAATTGATTTGCTTGCATAATTGTTCTGTGAGATACTTCCATTCAATTGAAAATTTTTACTTACATTCTTTATGTAATAGATTGGGAGAGAAATCATAAGATTCTTATGTTTCTTCATATTAACATTACGTATTTATTTACGTTACATATTTATTTACTTTTAATACGTTATAAAGAACATTACGATGGAAAAGAACCCGAATTTTAGGTTGGTTACCTTATACGTTCTTGGCATAACCTGCATGTATCCACAGTATGTACTGTTACTAATTATTAATAAAGAATTTCTTAATAGAACGTAGTGATCTTACAAAAACTTAAAAATCTTGAAATGAAATTATGGAATATGATCAACTTCGATAAATGTAACGAAATACACGTCAAAATCTCATTTTATTCAAAGCAATGCAAACAAAGATCCTCTACAGGTTTCGCACTGATAATCTTCTCAGTCCTTCCCCAAAATCATGTTTGTTTATGTAAAATTTTGGAATCTGCATTTTGCTGAATCATACACTTTTTTGGGAATTTTATTTTCGAGACTTTTATTGGTACTTGTAAAAAATATTCCGATAGAGTCAATGATGTACAGGATCCCAAGCATTTTGAAATGTGAAATAATGTGGAGAAATAACACATGTTAATAATGTATTTTATGTCCTTGCACAATACCTGTACTTCAACAATATTAAAATAAAACCCCTAACGTACGTACGTAGTATATCTATGTATTCTACCGGGAATTTCTATGAAATTATTCATCCGTCTTTGATAATGACCTCTTAACAAAGAAATGTATGTGTTAAACCTTTTGTGGATTGAGAATCTAAAAAAGCTTAGTTGTACTATTATTTATTAAATTTCTTTTCTCTTTAGAAATCGAAAAACCCCGCGGAAATGAAGTATGAAAATCTTTTCTGCATAAGGATTGGAACGATTATTTGATCGAAAATTCTTGGAATAAATTAATTATTACACAAAACGAGAATCTTCAAAAAAAAAATTGAGGGCTAAAAAAAAAAGTTTAAATATCTTTGCTTTGATAATAGCACAAACAAAAAGCAATTTAATTAAAAAAAATTTATTTTATCAAATTCTTCAATATAAATCAATTACAATTTGACACGTAATATAACAAAATAATCACTGTGCATATATACTGTATATATATGAATATGCATATATTCATATGATGTACAGGGGCCTTTTTTTCTTTCCTTTTTTTTTTCCTTTAAAAAAAAAAATAAAATAATAAATAAAAAATAAAAAAAAAAAAAGGAGTAGGAATCCTTTTTTTTTTCTTACATCGCATCATAAGGCTAGGTAAACAATACAAACAATAAAATTGTTCAGAATTTTATTCTCTCCCCATACATTTACGAGCATACAATGAATCTTAATAAAACCAATTCAAAATTTATTCGACTGTTTACTTCAAATGAATAGAAGTTCAAGCCTCAATGCATTTTAAACTAAACTATTTACTAACTTGACCCTATAGTATGTACGTATTATTGGGGTTACGATCTAATTTTACAGTAACGTAGATGTGTTGCTTTCATGTTTCCGTTTTAGGAACATAATCGGAAAATAAGTTCAGGTTCAGGCGTAAAATTAAAATAAAAATAATTAAAATAAAAAAAAAATAATTAACCATTTGTAAAATTTCTTTGTTTATTTATTCTTTTTTTTTTTTTTTTTTTTTCAAGGATGTTGTCATTTTGGAGGTAAACAATATGATGAACTTAAATGTCCTAATTACAAGGTGATGATCTTTCATTTTCGTGGTCGCGAATTTATAGTAATATCGTAAAGCAAAAAAAAAGAAAGAACTTTGAAGATCATTTTGATCATTTTTAAAAAAAATTTTTGCGTTTCATTTTCAACAATAATATAATATTTTTTAATTGTTAAAAGTCATTCAAAGCGTGCCCAAAATTGAGCTATAAAAAAATTTTTTTTAACAATATCCTCCTCATATTGTTCCAAATTAAGTTAGAATCAAAGATTTTTTAATCAGT